AGGGTTAAAGAGAACGGTGATATTATTATCGACACCGGAATGGAGATATATATTAAGACGATGATTGACGTTCTTATGCTTTGCACCTGCGATTGCACGAATCCTGAATTTTTATTTATTATAATAATTGAATAAATCGGCCGTTATGCATTTATACTTGTCATAAGGCTTTTGGTCCTAATAGCGGGTCGGACGCTAATTATATATAACTGTTTCCCTCAAGTTTTAACGTTTTTTTTTTTTTGGACAAAACGATAACCCGACGATTATTATAGCTAAAATCGTTACCGACTAACTCACAATTTTATCTACGGAATTTGCGAACTCAGCACTTTACTCGACGATTTTGACAGTGTCACGCCATAATTATTACCGCTAAAATGCTTCAAAATACAACGCATGTAATAATTTATGATAATTTTGCCCATCGCTATTTCTGACATTTCGCAAAACTAAACCATTTACTTCTGACTATTCTTAATTTCATGAAAGTGCTAGATTTTGCTAATATGATCGTTTTAATACAAAACAAAAAATAGACAACATGGGACAAATGAAAATAAAATAACAGACGAATAAACTAAGTCGTAAAAATGGAAGTGGAAAACAATTTTTAATACGAAACAAAAATGAAACGAATGAAATTAAAAAAAAAAAACAATGATGAATTACGATAGGTAGTAAAAAATGGCAGTGGAAATGGAAAACAATATGGAACGGTGTAGCTTGTGGCTCGTGTTCATAATTCAGATATAATGTATTCACAGGCAGATAGACAAAGTCAAATGACATGAAACGGATAAAAACGCCAAATAGAAACTTTGATACTCTTTTCTTCATTTTGCGACTTACTCGTATGTGGTCCAACCTTCTACTGAGTGCACCTGAGTTTCATGCTCACCTGTGCAACATTCTACGCTTATAATATCATCATCGTAAACATACATACTTTATCATTGTGATAGTATAGATACGCGTAACTGGCTGTTCATTAGCCTTACGTATCAACAACATCTATACGTTCGGAGAATGAATGCAAAAATATTAACGCACAAATTTGATGTGCATTAAACGGATTCACAATGAATAAACAGCATATGACTGGGGCTATAATGAAGTTTTTGTAGGATTTGGTGACTAGGATCAGGTAGGAGCTTTCACTTTATATTTAACTACACGTGGTGCCACATAGTCTGGCGTTCAAATGTCGCAGCGAGTTACGCAATGTGACGTCGGCTTTAAATGGAGCGAAATTGAATCACGTTGTTGACGTCACGTTCAGCGTAAGCATCGTAACGTCGATATTTTGACGAAATTTTTAAATTAAAATAATATATTTTACTTGAATCACACACGACATCTCGTGATTAGGGCCCGACCGATATATCGGCCGGCCGATATATCGGCCTTGTTTTTCACAAATTTTGAACTATCGGTATCGGCTAATTTTACCGATAGTTATCGGCTAATCACGTGACTGCCAAAGTGTCAAAATTGCGCCGGGAAAGCAGTTTTATCGCTTGTTTAATTCGAGAGCGGTTCTGCGTGAAACTCTTTTTCTTCACTATTTCTATTTCTCTCTTATCAAAAGCGGTTTCACGGACGATTGCGACACGGGATTTCACACTTTGCAAGCAAGTTTGCAGCGTGGTGGCTTACAAATCGAAGCGATAGAACACGTGAACGGCTTATTTGTGTCAAATAATATACGCTAGATTAAATAGAGAATTTTCGCGTAGTTTACACGGCGCTTGATTTCCCTTGTGCTTTAGTTGTTGAAGGTTGCCGGGAAAGCAGTTTTATCGCTTGTTTAATTCGAGAGCGGTTCTGCGTGAAACTCTTTTTCTTCACTATTTCTATTTCTCTCTTATCAAAAGCGGTTTCACGGACGATTGCGACACGGGATTTCACACTTTGCAAGCAAGTTTGCAGCGTGGTGGCTTACAAATCGAAGCAATAGAACACGTGAACGGCTTATTTGTGTCAAATAATATACGCTAGATAGAGAATTTTCGCGTAGTTTACATGGCGCACGGCGCCAGTGGCTGACAGAAAGAAAACGGATGTATGCAAATGGTGGCATGACAATGCTTGTCGATTTCCTATCTTAGCTATATTGGCCAGAAAATACCTTTCGGCACCACCAACATCTGTTCCCAGTGTAAGAGTATTCAGCACAACATCTGTTCCCAGTGTAAGAGTATTCAGCACCGCTGGGAATATCTATGCAGATAACAGATGTTCATTGCTTGGAGCCAATGCAGAAAAACTGCTTTCTCAACTATAACTTGAGACTGTTAAACTGGAGCTATTGAGATTCCATAAACTTACATAAGTGTTCTTTCTTTTTCACCATGCACACAATTTTCTTCAGCACAGTGGCTTTACACTGTTTGTTTCTAATATAAGGCGTTGAAAATCGCTATTCTTAAAAAAACTTAGTGATGCACAAATTTGCATTTTTTTATAATCATTGCATGAGTTTCAACATTTATTTCTTTTGCAAGAAAAACACAGAATTCTCAGAGTGTTGTTTGTTACTTGTAACAATTTTTTTATGTGAAGAAACATCGGTATCGTTATCGGCCTAGTTTTGGAAAACTAGCAGTATCGGTATCGGTTCAAAAAGGCAGTATCGGTCGGGCCCTACTCGTGATCACTGTAATTTTCCTTGTACATTGTGTATGCCCTCTAGCGATTGACGGTCTTTTAGTGAAGTTAGCGTCGGCAGAATTCGCTATGTTAGCCGCTCAAAAACAAGGTGCCAATTTTTGGCTAAAATGTGATTTTTTGTGTCAAAAAATAAATAAGATTAGGCGATTGAATATGATAACAGATTAAGATATATAAGGACACTCTATAGAAACTGCCAGAAGCAAAATATGACATGAACGATTGAAAATTTCATCCGAAGTTACCTGCGTTTACGGTATCTCTCTCCTATCGGGATCATTGCGACAGGAAAACGAGAGAAATGACTGTTCGATTTCGGGTTCTCGTCTGCGCGTCTTGGGTAACAGTTCGCATGGTTTGAAGGGCTGTATTACGTCACTGTGACGTCGTAGTGACGTAATTTTTGGATGGTGTGGTCAGGTGGGGGTTAGGATTGACACGTGAAAAAGTTGTTATGCTACGCCTACTGGAAGTATGTTAGGTACGAAACTACATGAGACCAGTTGTCTTGTTGGTGCATTTGCAAATAGTTGAGCACTGAAAACATGCTCAAACATAGACTGTGGGCCATATAAAACTAGCTTCTGTGAAATGGCTGACTTCGGATGATTTCACTATACTTTAATCAATTACTCAGCCGTTTGTTGTCCGATTTGCGTCAAACTTGAAATATATAACATTGGTGTAATTCTCTGTACATGCATTTAATTTTCTCGTCGATCAGATCATTTTTTATGTCTTAATTGTCTCATTTTTCACTACGCCACTAAATATCTATCTTCGAATGGGGAATCACCTCCCTGCGTCACCGCAACTCGAGCGAAAAGTGCGTGCGTGAAGACAAAACACGCTTTATGTCGTATAACGTTTGCAATGTGGCACGTGTTGATGTAAAACAGTGCACAAGTTACCATTACTCAAGTATTATTCACTCCAAGTATTATTTACTCCCACCTGTCCGTTATGACATTTGCTAGAAATAATCTGAAATGTTTTATTCCCGCTTGTATCGCCCTAACAAAATTAAAATTAAATACTAATTTTTTTTTGTAACAGATGTAAAAGACGTGTATGTTTTTGTTCACCGCCACTCGAATGGAAGCCTGACAAACGTAAATAAAATAAATATATATATTTTAGGATGAGAAACACGATTGTCAATTAACATTGCTGGCCGATGAACTCATTCAGTAATAGTTCTCTTCAAATGTACGCGAAATATCTCACTCAGAACAAAGTTTTAAATTAAATTTCAATCAAAATTAAATATCATCTGAGACGTCGGTAGCTGATTCTTTATACAATCATGCCGCGGTGTACAATAACTTAGTCGCAGCGCAGGTGTGCTGTTGAAAATTTTCAAAATTGTCACGAATTTTCAGATATACGATCCATTTAAATTCGCGCATAATAGAACTTAGGCTATTCAGTGGAAAACTGAACTCGCGGTTTGGGGAAATTACGCCACAATCATCTCGAGTGAGCGTAAAAGAGTGTGTTGTGCCGAATTTGAAACATACGACGGCAGATAAGTAAAAAGTCAATCACGAAAAATTCATTTTCATTTATTTCCGTGCCTTAATTTGTTGTATTTGGAGTGCCGCATAAACGCATTCGGCAGTTCGCCGCCGAAAACAACGATTCAACGAACGTTCAATGTTTTTTTTCGGTAAATCGCTCTCTTTTTCGAATCGATTCAGAAAAGATGCGAATCGATCCGTAAATCCAAAGTGCATCCCTATCGGCGACGCAACATGACGTCGTTCTTCAAAGTGAGCTATTATTTGAATTCAATTTTTTCTCGAGTCTCCTGCGACATCTCGTGATCAGTCTAATTTCTATATACATTGATAACACCTCTAATCGAATGACAGTATTTTGAGGAACTTAGCATCAGTAGAAGTCACGATTTAAGCCGTTCGGAAAACGGAGTGTCAATTTTAGGTTAAGACGTGATTTTTTTAATCAAAAAATAAATTAAATTGCGCGATTGAATATGATAACAGATTTTAGATATATAAGGCCTTGCTATAGAAACTGCGCAGAAGCACAATATGACGTAATTTAGCCGAAATATTAACGATTGAAAATTTCATCCGAAAGTTAGCCGGTTTTACGGTTCTCATTTAGAAGCAAGCTGACGATCGAAATTTGCACGAAAAATATAAAGTTTATTAAAAATATTAATTGCTTCTAATAAATTTCATGACAATTTCATGGTCAGAAGTGCATAATACTGAAATTTACCATTGTTTTTAGATTTTATTTAATTTGGAAATTTTTACCAAAGACGTATTTCCTTGCCTTAACTGCGCTGAAAACTGTTCATGTTTTTGCACATTGACAATGATGATAATTCTTATCGCACTGAAGAATCAAACGAATATGTGACTAACAACATTGCTGGAACTAGTCAGCCTTACTAACTCTGAGGAGAATTGTGGAAAATATTATTACAAGTAAACTTCTTCACTTTGTGTATCTGAAAAAAAAATAGAGGAAGTGGTTTTGCTAAACCACTAAACTGGAAGGGAAATCACGAACCCAGTCTACTTGTCCATACCAACACCGGACCAATGCCTAATCTGAAAAGCAACAGTGGAGATGAATCATCATAGTTGCAAACAATTAGGGAAGAGCTTCAAATCAAAAGCGGAATTTAAACAGGCATATGAGGATTCCTCAAAGAGATAAACCCTATATTTGTAAACAATGTGGAAAATGTGTTTCACGATTATATAGTTTACGAGAGCATGAGCGAACTCACACTGGCGAAAAACCTTATGCTTTGTAAACATTGTGGAAAGGATTTTTCAACAATTATCTAGTTTTACTTAGGCACGAGCTAAGTCATACTGGAGAGAAACCTCATATATGTAACAATGTGGAAAGTGTTTTTCTCGATTATCTCATTTACAGAGGCATGGAAGAACGCATACTGGAGAAAACCTTATATTTGTAATCAATGTGGAAAGTGTTTTACGCGATTATCTCATTACAAGGGCATAAGCGAACTCATTGCGGCAAAAACCTGGTGCCTCTAATCAATATGGGGAGAAATCACATGTTTGTGAATATTGTGGAAAGTGTTTTACGGAGTCATCTAATTTACATGTGCACAAGAGAACTCATACTGGAAAGAAACCGTTCGTTTGTAAACAATGTGGAAAGAGTTTTTCACAATTATCTATTTTACGAGCGCATGAACGAACTCATACTGGAGAGAAACCATATTCTTGTAAACAATGCGGAAAGAGTTTTTCACAATTATCTGGTTTACGAGCGCATGAACGAACTCATACTGGAGAGAAACCATATTCTTGTAAACAATGCGAAAAGTGGTTTTCATATTCATCTGCTTTATCAATACATGAGCGAACTCACACTGGGAAAAAACCTTTCATTTGTGAACAATGTGGAAAAAGTTTTAATCGATCATCTAGTTTACTTGTGCACAAGAGAACTCATACTGGAAAGAAACCTTTCGTTTGTAAACAATGTGGAAAGAGTTTTTCACAATTATCTAATTTACGAGCGCATGAACGAACTCATACTGGGGAGAAACCTCATGTTTGTAAACACTGTGGAAAGAGTTTTTCACAATTATCTGATTTACAAGCGCATGAACGAACTCATACTGGAGAGAAACCTTATGTTTGTACACAATGTGGAAAGGCTTTCTCACGATCATCCACTTTATCTGAACATGAGAGAATTCATACTGGAGAGAAACCACATATTTGTAAACAATGTGGAAAAAGTTTTTCACAATTATCTAATTTACATGTGCATGAACGAACTCATACTGGAGAGAAACCTTATGTTTGTGAAGAATGTGGTAAGCATTTTGCACATTTATCCACTTTGCATGCCCATGAGCGAAGACATACTTGAAAGAATCCAAATTACATTGGTATGAGCAAACCTAACTGTGTAAACAATGTGTGATGCGCTTTTTAAATAGACTTCGTTTACAAAACAACATAGGCAGGAAAACAACAGTTTGTAAGGATCGTTTGGAAGACTTTATTTTTAACCTAATCATAATGCAGGTATAAGCTACTCATATTCTTTTGAAATTTTGATTGAATTTAAAAATAAATAGTTTAAAAAGTCAAAACTTTGGAAATTTTCTACGAGTTTTGAAATATATTCTGCCATATTCATTCGTGCGTTTGGCTTTATATTAAGAGAATAATAAATGACATTAATAGTTAATTTGAGAGAAAAGCAATATTTTAAAAGCTCAGTTTTTTGTTTTAATTTTGTTCAGGTTTTTTTAAAATAAGATCTTGAACAATTAGCCAAACACAGCAATGATAATCCAATTCGGATTTTACCAGATGATGCTAGCTTTAGTTATCAGATAAGTCAATTTCAATAAATTTTTGTACATACATGTTGTAATTTTATTTTGTAACACCATAATTCGATAACATTGCGGCGGAATTTCTCAACTTAAACTCACATATGTCAGATGACCAATTTTTTTTTTTTGAAAGTTTGAAATTAACCGATGAAATTAAATATTTTTCATTTAATGTGGACAATGTGATATTTATTGTGCTTTGAAAACTGGGAGTGTTAATGATCAAATGCTAATGATGGTAACATAATGAAGGACTGAAGACGGAAGTGTATATGGCAGTGGTTCTCGAACTTTTTTTGCTCGTTTAGTGTCTTTGAACAAGTTATTCCGCGAATTTTCATGCGATGTGCCTGTTTTAAAAAACGATTGGAACGAGGTTTTATCGCTCCCTTTTTTCCTTCTACGCGCCTCACAATTGAGGTTGGGGTAGAAAATTTTTTATTGGATAGAATTAGGAGTAATTAGCAGTAGGATAGGATAGGATTTACATATTTATCACGGGGGGGGGAGGAAAGCCGATAGGACGGCTTAATCATATGGCGAACAACTGCCTCTCGTCCGGTTACCAGTCAAGGTCGGGTATGGGATTAGTTAACCAGTTATTTGTTTTCGAAAGCATGGACTTGATGGTGGAGGAAGCCGTAACCGACCAGCGGTTACGTGAACCACCCTACGGCGACAAGGAGTCCAGCAATCCTCTCGCACATGATCATTCCCGCATGGAAATCGAACCTGCGATCCCACGAAGGGTAATCAGAGAGCGTATTCCTAACGCTTAGCACGATGCGCCATATCGCCGAGCAATTCAAAATCGGCTTCATTTATATATTTATTCTGGTGATCTCTCTATAAATCCTGGTTGGATACTAATATGTGGTTCAAATTTTCAGTTGTCAGAAGTTTATTACATTCAATTACCTACTTTTTTTGGTGGGCGGGCACGTACATTGTTCGCTTTTTAACTTCATTTTGAGTTATGCCCGTCTCCCAGGTAACTCTGCATTTTGTTTTGTTCGTTTACCTTTTGTTTTGTCAGAGAACCAAAATAAATGATTGGTTGATTATGACATAATATAATTATACCGTGACGATCATCTTTACTACAACGACAAGGCAAATGCAATAATATTACCAGCCTAATACTGCATACTCACGTCTCACAAGCTTGCCCGTTGCATGCATGCCTATGTGTAATACAAATGGCCTAGTTTCCAAAATTTCAAACCGCTCCTCGGCACACCTGAGAATCTCTTGAGGCACACAGTATGAAAGGGATAGGCGAAATTTTTTAGTATAAAAGCCGCGCATGCACCAAGTCACAAATATGTGAGAGCCGCATGATTTAGGAATCAATAATATTAGAATACTGTGAACTGAAAACAAACGTATATTAACAGTATTGCAAAGTATATATTGCGATGCCATATCAGAAGAAGTTGACTTGTGTGTTTCCATCTTATCTGAAAGTTTTGTGATATGTAGTCAATGCAGCGCAGGACATATCGCACTGTTACTGAGACTAACCGCAATAAAGCTACAACAAACCGCCAACGCAGCAACAAACATTTGATCATTGTGATGTAAGATTATAAATTCCACGTTGCGATTTTCTTACTGAAACACAATTTACGCTACAGATCCTCTTAATCAAATTTGAATAATAATTATTGCCAGCGAGAAGAGCCGCGTAAAAACTCCAGCGAGTCGCAAAACTTTATCGGTGCCGCACGGTTGTGCATCGTGCTGAGCGTTGTTGGCACCTCTGGAGGGTCATTTGTCTAACTCAGGGGTGCACAACCTTTTCTCTTTAGACGGCCGCATTATGTTTTTGTAAAAAGTCTACGGCCGCCAGTGGGATCGAGATTTTTTATGAGCTTTATTTATTAATTATAGAATTGGTATTTATTGATAGATGTTATTGACTTGCGTCTAAAACGTGCATGAAATGGTAAGAGTTAAACATATATGAAAAATCAAAGTTTTTAGTGGTCAGTATTTTATTGCATCGGATAATTTTAATGAATGAGAGATATTCAGATTTCATATACAGTCGGAAGGGTCGACACTTACTTCCGCTGAGAATTACTGTGATTCCGAAGTTGTTGACAACGCAACAAATATTTACTTTGCTTATTACGTTATAATTGCTGATCGTCAGCGTTTATAACTTTGCAGGCATTGGATAAATATCTTCCCGCAGATACTCCTTATCTCACATCCTTTAGCAGCAGCGTACATCAGAATTAAATGTTCTATTTCTTGCAAAATTGTGCGTTTAATCATATAAACGCGTAAGTTCCTAATCGATCATCGACAACAGGCCTTTTCAGGATTAATTAAAGAATTTATACTTTAGACAATAATTTTGCGAAGCTTTTTTCATTCAAGTCACTGATTGATTCGGTACGCTTGATGTGGTCATTTGGACCGTTAACATCGATTGTGTCTGTAAACTATATTTTTGAAAATCCCTATCCGCTCTTACACTCGTACGTTTTGTGCCTCAAAGACGCCAATAATTGTTTTTTTCCCATGGGCGTCCTCTGTTAAAAACTCGTTAACTAATCCTTGATCTTCGGTGACGAGACGCTTGAGATTATAATAGAGCGAATCTGCAACTTAAATTTTGGACTGAAAATAGGAGAGTAACTACTGAAACTGAAAACGATGTTATAAAATATTATCCCCATGACTTTTGTTTCGGGATCCCGCAACAACAAAAAAAATAGATTACGTGAATCGCCAAAATTTAACAATTAAATTTCTGTGTTGGAAACTATATCACAATCACCGATGTTAAAAATTTATTTAAGCACACATTGTACCTTCTTACCTATTCTTGAATTACTGTCAGGTATTGTGATGATAGGACCGTTTCACTACGTTTTTTAAATGTCCACAGATATATTATTACTGAAGCAATGATGCTTTCTTTATGTCTTTGGTCGCGAGTTACGTCTAACACAACTTAATCAATATAGAAAGACAATTTAATTTCTGGTATCGGTCATGGATTAAATATGTTAAGCAACATAAAAAATCACTATGCGCTGAAAAAGCCTGGCGTCATTGCGATCAGGTTTCGAACAATAGTAACTTCGTTTCATGCACGCTGAAAATAATTCTAATTTCATCTGGAATTAAAGAACCGTTTACTTTTGACGATATCCCGCTTAAGAGATATGAAAGAATATTTACAACTGTTACTTTTTTATGATACTGATAATTCATTTCCATTTCAGACATAAGTACTGCTACGATTTTCCGTAACAGTCAACCAACATAAAACAAATTGTTTTGCAGTAACACAAACTGTAACACACCAGCACGGCCACAGATTTTACCTTCGATGGCCGCAGGCTGTGCACCCCTGGTCTAACTTCATATAGAAGGTTTTTTTTTTTTTTTTTTTTTTTTTTTTGCCAAATTTAAATCCATAGCCAAATCGGATTTATGAAATTGATAGTTTTGGTTTATCCAAATATATTATTATGTCAATTTAATTGCATGAATCCCAATTTCCAAATAATTTAGGTGTTAAGTATACAATACATGATAGATAAATAATCACAAATATCAATTTAACCAGATACATTTACCCATATTAGTTCAAATATCCAATTTGAATTGTGTCCACATTCATGAAATGTCAATCCATGTAATCCAGTGACCATTGTGCATACATTTTTTTTCATTTTCAGTAGTTATACCATATATATTATAAATTTAACCGATATTATCATTTAATATGGAAAACAAAAATATTTAAAGAATTAGACAAATAATCATAAAAACGCCCATCATGCTATTAGGCGTTTTCCAGATTCTCGGTCTATGCAAACTTTTTTTTTTTTTTTCTTGGAAATAACATTTTATTATAGAGTCTGTGATTGCAGAAACGATAGTTGCAGGTGTTAGGAATTAATATTAAAACAAGTTTAACATGAAATAATACATTATACACCCACAATGTTATCTGATATATCATAATTTTCATTACAACACAACAAACATTCACATTTTTATTTTTTTTTTTAACTGACTTATTTCAATGTATATAAATTTCAGATAATAAGTATGAAAACTATAACTACCATATTCAAAGCATTACTGATTTTCCTAAAAGAATTTCAATCTTTTCATCTTCTAATATTTCCTCTTTTACAAATTCATTCATACTTCTTAAAGATCCTATCATCACACATTTAAACATAGTTCTAAGTATGGACTGATATGTTTCCAATTCCTGAAATATTAAGCCATTTCTAAAATTCCAAATCGCTGCTTTACCACAAGCGATAATTAGATTCAGTGATTTAGTTTCAACATCTTGAGTAAAAATATTATGCTGTGTATAACTTGTTAAATTTAGCCATTTCCAAAAGGATTTTATATAAGAACAGTTGAAAAATAAATGAATACAATTTTCAATGACTCTATTACAAAAGACGCAATTGCCATTTGTATCTTCTGCCCAATGTCTAATTCGTTCTCCAGTTGGAATCCCATTTTGTAAAATCTTCCAACTTAGTACCTGGTATTTTCTCGGAATATAATTTGCCCAAACTTTATTCCAAGTAAAAACTGTTCGTAAATTAAATTTATAAATAATTTTACAACGTTTCTGTTTCCATTGGTCACTGTTAAACTTTTTTAATATTTTCCTATACAATATTTTTGTTGTGGGATTTTCTGAAAAATCATATTTAAATTCCTTTGACATGGGGATATGATTGCTTGTTTTATCTCTTAATATATTTTTCCATTCCTGGGGAATAGATTTCAAAATTTCTTGAACAGATAAAATAACTTTCTTCATTTTGTCTTTTACATCATTTATATCTATCATTCTTATCCTATCTTCTCCATATATTTTTTCTAAAATTTGCCTACATGTTAATTTAATAACATGTTCTATTTTTGTTATATTTGATTTAATCCAATTACTCAGATTATCTGGATGATTTCGCAACTTAATCAATGGATTAAACCAAATATATTCTTGATAAATTTCAGATCTTAATTGCAAAGGGTTTCTTTTTAAATTTAATGCTTTAAAATAATTGACAATATTTGTATAGAATTGAGGTATCGATTTCTTAAAATTGTTTCGCAAACTAAGATGGATAATTTCCAAATTAGTTGTTTGAAGTTTATTGTGATAGTTATTTATGTAATTTCTAGCTCTGTTACTCCATGGTGCTTTATTACCATCAATCAATTTCCACAACCATTTAAGTTGAATGCTTTTTATTTGTATTTCTATATCCATGCATCCTAAGCCCCCCTGCATTTTACTGGCACAGCATACACTTCTGCTTATATTTTCTTGTTTTTGTTCCCAAATAAAAGTCCAAATTAATTTTTTCAAAGTTAATATAACATTGTATGGAACTATTTCAAATGATGCTAAATACCAAACTTTTGACAATA